AAAAAAAAAAAAAAAGAAAAAAAAAAGTTATACTCAGCTTTTGAACAGCAAGGAAGGCCGGCCCCCCAACCACCATGTGGTCCATGGGTCAACTGTACAATGGCTGCATACCACTTCATTCTCATGGATTCAACATGGCACTTGGCATGGGGCAAACTCAAGTTTTTACTTTTTGAAACTTTATGAAAGTTTTTTTCCCCAAATATTTCCTATTCATTTTCTTTTTTGGCGGCGGTGGTAGGGGGAGCCAGGGTCTCACTCCATCTCCCAGGCTGGACTGCTGTGGCCTCAAGGTCCTGGGCTATAATGATACTCCTACCTCAGCCTGTCAAGTAGCTGAGACTATACGCATGCATCCCCATGCCCAGCTAATTTTTTAATTTTTTTTGTAGAACTGGGTCTCACTATGTTGCCTAGGCTGGTCTTGAACTCCTGGGCTCAAGTAATTCTCCTCTCTAGGCTTCCTACAGCGTTGGGATTACAGGCGTGAGTCATCATGTCCAGTCTTTCCCAAATATTGTCTTTTATTTGAGACAGTTTTGCTTTATCACCAAAGCTGGAGTGCAGTGGTGCCATCTTGGCTCACTGAAACCTCCGCCTCCCAGGTTCAAGCAGTTCTTCTGCCTCAGACTCCCAAGTAGCTCGGATTACAGGCACCTGCTGCCACACCTGGCTAATTTTTGCATTTTTATTTTATCTATTTATTTGAGACAGAGTTTTGCTCTTGTTGCCCAGGCTGAATAGCAATGGTACAATCTCAGTTTACAGCAACCTCCGCCTCCCAGGTTCCAGCAATTCTCCTGCCTTAGCCTCCCGAGTAGCTGGGATTACGGGTGCCTGCCACCATGCCTGGCTAATTTTTTGTATTTTTAGTAGAGATAGGGTTTCACCATGTTGGCCTGGCTGGTCTTGAACACCTGACCTCAAGAGAGCAACCCACCTCAGCCTCCCAAAGTGCTGGGATTATAGGCGTGAGCTACCACGCCCAGCCTCAGCGGGTGCTTTCTTCCCTACAGTTTCCCCTCCTCAACTGGGACTACTTATGATTCTCAACCAAGGCAGTAACACTGCACTTCTATTAAAAAGGTCTGAAGCAGTTTTGGCAAAATAAGAAATTTATTACATATGATTGGCAGGTACATGCTGCTGATATATTATTGTTTGAAGAAAAGCCAAAATAAAAAATAGTATTTTAATTTTAAATATCACATAATTACAGGTCCTTGAGGATCAGAGTTGGGCTCAGGGAATTACCTCATTTATTAGAGAAGTCAGAATGGGCAGAACCATCTCCAAATTTTTTTTTTTTTTTTTTTTTTGAGACAGGGTCTCGCTGTCATGCAGGCTGGAGTGCAGTGGTATGATCACGGCTCACTATAGCCTCAACCTCCTGGGCACAAATGATCCTCTCTTCTCAGCCTCCCAAGTAACTGGGACTACAGGTGTGTACTACCATGCCTGGCTAATTTTTGTATTTTTTGTAGCGATGGGGATCTTACTATGTTGCCCAGGCTGGTCTTGAACTCCAGGGCTCAAGTGATCCACTTTGGCCTCCCAAAGTGCTGGGATTACAGGCATGAGCCACTGCAGCCGGCCCAAGCTTTTTTTGAAACGGAGTCTCGCTCTGTTGCCCAGGCTGCGAGTGCAGTGGCACAATCTCAGCTAACTGCAGCCTCTGAGTCCTGGGCTCAAGTGATTCTCCTGCCTCAGCCTCCCGAGTAGCTGGGATTACAGGCATGCGCCACCACGCCTGGCTAATTTTTTGTATTTTTAGTAGATACGGGGTTTCACCATGTTGGCCAGGCTGGTCTTGAACTCCTGACCTCAGGCGATCCACCTGCCTCGGCCTCCCAGAGTGATGGGATTACAGGCATGAGCCACCATGCCCAGCCCAAATTTTTTTTTTTTTTTTTTAAACATTGACTTTCAGCTGTATGACCTGGTCCCAGCACTGTAGCTCAGAAGCCCCGGGAGGTTGGGTTCACACCCTTAGGGCTGGGACTTTCTGAGCCCTGAGGATGAGAATCTAAGTTCTGAGATGAGTGGAGGGCTTCCCTGAAGGGACCAAGGAGGTCACCGTGGCAGAAACAATGGGAGGCAAGAGGTCAGTGGCAAGGAGGGGAGGGGATGGGACAGAGGGGCCTGAGGCTGGATCGGAGGGTTTCGGGTGGGAGGAGAAGAGAGGGGAGGGGAGAATTCTCCAGGACGTGTGTTCCCCCATGCTCAAACCTGTGGGTTTCCCCTCAGTAGGGCAGGGTCCCCCAAAGCAGCAGCTGCAGTAGGTAGATATGATGGAAGAAGCTTCTTCTGGTAGTTTCTAGAACCTCAAGTTGAGGGCCTTTGATCGGACCCAGGAATTCCCAGTATGCCAGGGAGGTACAAGCGCTTAGTTGGTTAATGAGGGGTCCCAGCCAATGGTCCCAGGCCCTGGAAGGCACAGTCAGGCTGTCTTGCAAGAAGGGTGGTCCTGGACTAGGGTGGACGAACTTGCACCATCACACTGGAGTTGGTCAGACGGGCTCCATAGTGGCCGGCCCAGAACTCTGTGTCCTGGCCCCAGTGTTCGAAAGACACAAAGCGGACACCCATCTTGATGTTGGAGAACACGTGGGTGACCTGTAGGCAGAGGAAGGGCCCAGCCCCATTGTGCCACAGCCCCCTCTCCAAAGCTGACGTTGGAGGTTGGCTATAAAATCTCCCAAGGAGCACATGTTCTTCTAGAATCTTATAGAATTTTCCACTCGCTCAACAAAAAGTGGAATCTGGCCGGTGCAGTGTGGCTCGTGCCTGTAATCCTAGCACTTTGGGAGGCCGAGGCAGGTGGCTTGCTTGAGGCCAGGAGTTCAAGACCAGTCTGGCCAACATGTCAAAACCCTGTCTCTACCAAAAATACAAAAAAAAATTAGCCAGGTGTGGTGGCGCATACCTGTAATCCCAGCTACTCAGGAGGCTGAGGCAGGAGAATTACTTGAACCCAGGAGGCAGAGGTTGCAGTGAGCTGAGATCATGCCACTGTACTGCAGCCTGGATGATAGAGGGAGACTCCATCTCAAAAAAAAAAAAAAAAAAAAAAAAGGAAGGGGGAATCTAATTCTCTTCCCCACGAATCTAGGTGGGTTTGCTTGTCACCAAGAATGTGGTGAAAATGATATGGAGTGACTTTTGCCAAGTGACTTCCAAGGCTAGGTCAGAAGCAAGGGAGCTTCTACCTGTTTCTCTAGAATCCTCTTCCCCAAGCAAACACATATGCATTCTGACCGTGTAGGAGCTGCTATGCTGTGAGGAAGCCCAAAGTAGCCCAATCAAGAGAGATCCCGTGGAGAAGCTCTGAGACTAAATGAAGGAAGAGATGCTTCCCAGCCGCTGACTGCTACACACACACCACCCACCACCCCGCCCTGCAGCTCCAGACTTCATCAGAATGTCACTGTCTGAACCTCGAGAGGCAGAAGCCAGAACCACCCAGGTGAGTCCTCCTGAAATTATTGACTTACAGAAACCACGAGAGGTAGTCAGAGGACTGTCGATTTTAAGCCACTAAGTTTTGGGGTGATTTGTTTAGCAGCAATAGGTCACCACAGGCGCCCAACATCCTTTCCCCAACCGCCATCAGAGACTCACGTGAAGGCAAACATTGTTGTTCCACCGGGGGATGGGATCAGGCACAGCAGAGAATTTATCTAGAACAGTCTGGTCGGCATCTAGAAGTTGGACAAGGAGTCGATACATACAGCCACTGTCGTGTCGGGCTCCCCACCTGCGGGAGGAGGGAGGCCTTGAAGGCTGGACTTGCCACCCCATCTCTTTGGGTGTCTGCCTACCTTCTCCTTCCTGCCTTGTCCAAATGCCCTCCCCATGTACACAAATCCTCTAAAGGGACTCCTGGGAGGTGATCTCTGGACACTTGAATGTGTTGTGTCAGATAGGAGTATCTTTGATGGGGACCCAGTGGGTAGTGGATAGTCTACCAATGTGATTTAGGGCAGGGGCTAGCCACACTCATATAGATGGTCTCAGGATGGGGGCTGGCCCCTACAGAAAGACCCACAATGTGACTTACAGTGGGGGCTGGGAGTCAGGGAACATCAGTGGACCTGGAGGCCAAGATTAACCACACGGGCCATCAATCAATCCATCATGCCTATGTGATGAACCCAAGAAACACTCTGGACACGGATGCTCAAGTGAACTCTGTTGGGCAACAAAATACCATGCATCTTGCCACACATCAATGCCAGCACGGTAACATGTCCTGATGCCATGGCAGGACAGCAGAAGCTCTGTGTCTGACATTTCCCCTGGATGCTGCTCTGTGCCCTTCTTTTCTTGGCTGATTTTAATCTGTATCATTTCCCTGTAATAAACCAGAAGTGTTTAGTAGCTTTCTGTGAGTTCTTCCAATGAATTATTGAATGGTGAAGGTGGTTTTGGAAGTTCCCCAAACTTGTAGTTGGTGGAGTTGTAGAGATGGGGTTTTGCCATGTCACCCAGGCTGGTCTTGAACTTCTGGACTCAGGCAATCCTTCTGCCTCTGCCTCCCAAAGTGCTGGGATTACAGGCGTGAGCTATTATACACAGCCAGATTTTGTTTTTAATTATTACGCATCAAATGACATAATATATTTGTGTTGTTCTAACATATTGTGTCAGAAGTGAGGATGGTCTTAGGGAGTCCATCCCTGAACTTTGTAGTGAGCTTGAAACTTCTCACAAATATTGATGCCTGGCTGGGCATGGTGGCTCACGCCTGTAATCCCAGCACTTTGGGAGGCTGAGGCAGGTGGATCACCTGAGGTCAGGTGTTTGAGACCAGCCTGGCCAACATGGTGAAACCCTGTCTCTACTAAAAATACAATTAGCCAGGCATGGTGGCAGGTGCCTGTAATCCCAGCTACTCAATAGAGGCCAAGGCAGGAGAATTGCTTGAACATGGGAGGCTGAGGTTGCAGTGAGCTGAGATCGCTCCATTGCACTGTAGCCTGGGTGACAGAGGGAAACTCTGTCTTAAAAATAAAAACCAACCAACCAAACAAAAAATATTGACACCTGACTCTCACCCTCAGACACTCAGATTTAATTGGTATGAATGGTGCCTGGGCATTGGGGGTGTGTGTGTGTGTGTGTGTGTGTGTGTGTGTGCGCGCGCGCGTGTGTGTGTTTTCTGACTGAGTCTTGCTCTGTCACCCAGGCTGGAGTGTAGTGGCATGAGCTCGGCTCTCTGCGCCCTCCACCTCTTGGGTCCTGATTCAAGCAATTATCCTGCCTCAGCCTCCTGAGTAGCTGGGATTACAGGCACGCACCACCACGCCCAGCTAATTTTTGTATTTTCAGTAGAGACGGGGTTTTACCATGGTGGCCAGGCTGGTCTTGAACTCCTGACCTTGTGATCCACCCGCCTCGGCCTCCCAAAGTGCTGGGATTACAGGCATGAGCCACCACACCTGGCCGGCATTGGGTGTTTAAAAAGCTACCTTTATGATGTGCAGCAAAATTTGGAAGTGACTGATTATTACAATCAAATAGTACACCATTGACCAAAACAACACAAATATGTTACATAGTTTGATAAGTAATAATTAAAAACAAAATCTGGCCAGGCATGGTGGCTCACACCTGGAATCCCAGCACTTTGGGAGGCAGAAGTGGGAGCACTGCTTTAGTCCAGGAGTTCAAGACCAGCCTGAGTGACATGGCAAAACCCATCTCTACAAAAAATACATGGCCAAGTGTGGTGGTTCACACCTGTAATCCCAGAACTTTGGGAGGTTGAGGTGAGCAGATCACCTGAGGTAAGGAGTTCGAGACCAGCCCGGCCAACATGGCAAAACTCCATCTCCACTAAAAATACAAAAATTAGCCAGGCGTGATGGTGCATGCCTGTAATCCCAGCTACTCGGGAGGCTGAGGCAGAAGAATCATTTGAACCCAGGAAGTGGAGGTTGCAGTGAGCTGAGATGGCGCCATTGTACTCCTGCCTGGGCAACAAGTGAAACTCCGTCTCAAAAGAAAAAACAAGAAAAAAAACAAAAACTTAAAAATTAGACAAGCATGATGGTTGTACACTTGTAGTCCCAGTTACTCAGCAGGCTGACGTAAGAGGATCACTTGAGGCAAGGTGGTGGAGGTTGCAGTGAGCCGAGATCATGCCACTGCACTCCAGCCTGGGTGAAAGAGCAAGACTCTGTCTCAAAAAAAAAAAAAAAAAAAACTTACTGGAGATATATTTCTTAATGAGATGGAGTTTGGGGGCAGGGTTATGGGGCCTTAAGAGTGAATTTGCTGGCCAGGTGCGGTTGCTCACACCTGTAATCTCAGCACTTTGAGAGGCCAAGGTGGGTGGATAACCTGAGGTCAGCAGTTCGAGACCAGCCTGAACAACATGGTGAAACCCAGTCTCTACTAAAAATACAAAAATTAGCTGGGTATGGTGGTGCACACCTGTAATCCCAGCTACTTGGGAGGCTGAGGCAGGAGAATCACTTGAACCCAGGAGGCAGAGGTTGCAGTGAGCTGAGATTGCATCATTGCACCCAGCCTGGGCCACCAAGAGAGACTCTACCTCAAAAAAAAAAAAAAAAGTGAATTTGCTAACGCTCAAAATTTCCAATGGCCATTTTGCCTGGTTCCCCAGTAGTCTTTACATCTGGGGACCACACACCGTAGTGAGGGGTTTTTTTCTTGTAAAACTAGAGAAGGGGCACACTGAGAAAGAGACTAGGGAAGGAGAATTGTATGATGCTTCCCACACAGATGTAATCTATAGCAGATTAATTTTATAATAGGGGCAGATGGCTGCAGTGGACCTGGAATTTGACTCCCATAAAACTATCTGGGTCATAAACCCCCTGGAAACTCTTCATGCACCCCAGATGCAAGACCATCACTAAAGGGACAAGCTCTGGAGTCAGTTGAGTCAGGGCCTTATGCCAGGTTCTGCTAAGCTCAGGCTGTGTGGCCAGGGCAAGTCATCTGCATGCCCCCCCTTTTTTTCCCGAGACGGAGTCTCACTCTGTTGCCTAGACTGGAGAGCAATGGTGCCATCTCAGCTCACTGCAACGTCCGCCTCCCATGTTCAAGAGATTCTCCTGCCTTGGCCTCCGGAGTAGCTGGGATTACAGGCGCGCACCACCATACCTGGCTAATTTTTTGTATTTTTAGTAGAGATGGATTTCACCATGTTGGTCAGGCTGGTCTCGAATTCCTGACCTCAAGTGATCCGCCCACCTTTGCCTCCCAGAGTGCTGGGATTACAGGCATGATCAACGGTGCCCAGCCTGTCATCTCCCCTTTCCTAACCTCTCAGTTTCCTGCAAAGCTCTGAATGATCTGAGGGCCTGAAATACACCTTCCCATGGGATCGAGGTTCAAAAAATATGCTCACATTTATAAAGTACTTGTTATGTGCTTGCCATGTAATAATTGTCTTTGCAAGAGCCCTATCTTGGAAACAGAGGTATGCTGTGACATGCCCAAGGCCACAAAGCCACAGAGTTAGGGTTTGAATCCGGGAGGTCTGGCTCCAGAATCTAGGCTCTTAGCCAACTTTGCTATTTTCTCCTCCTAAGGCAAGGAACATCTCAATCATTCACAGACAAGACTGAGCTGGGCCCAGGGTCTCTGTATTGGATCTCATCTTCTGCTTTCCAATCCACATCCCTTTGGGCATGAGTAGAGAGGCTCAGAGTGTATACTCTGCTAATTTCTAAAACTGTGAGTATGGCTGTCACTTCACCTCACCGAACTTCAGTTTTTCTTTTTCTTTTTTTTTCTGAGACTGAGTCTCACTGTCACCCAGACTGGAGTGCAGTGACACAATCTTGGCCCACCACAACCTCTGCGATTCTCCGGCCTCAGCCTCCCAAGTATCTGAAACTACAGGTGTGCACTACCACACCTGGCTAATTTTTTTGTATTTTTAGTAGAGATGAGGTATGCTGGCTGGGCTGGTCTTGAACTCCTGACCTCAAGTGATTTGCCTGCCTCGACCTCCCAAAGTGCTGGGATTATAGGTGTGAGCCACCATGGCCGGCCTGAGCTTTGGATTTTTTTATCTGTAAGGAGGGGTTAGGAGGCCTAAATTAAGTCACCCCTAAAAAGGTCATGTCGCATGAAGTCAGTGCTTAGCAAGGGGCTATTTTAATCATCACACTCACCAGTCAGAGACACAAATCTCAATCCTGCCACTATCCAGCAGTTCTGGCCACAGACCCTCCTCCTCTAGGTCCAAGACCTGCTTCTTGCGACACCAGCTGGGAATGGAGACAGGGTAATAAGAACAGGCAGGCCTTTCTCAACAACTGGCAGGACCTTTGGAGCAGGGGCATTCACCTGAATGAAGTCACGAAGCATGTCTGAGAAGGGGCCCCAGGCACGGTTGTCCTGTTTTCCTCTACCACCCAGCCGTCCCCACCATGCTGCACCATCCACTTTCGGAGGCCTTCTGTGAAATAAAAAAGGCTAGTACCCAAGTTCCAGTCGCCTGCCTGTAGGTTCCTAGTGAGACTCCGCCCCAGCCCCTCCCACGTGCTGGCAGCGCAGCTTGCTTTCCCAGCCATTCCCACGGAGGCCCCGCCCCCTGCCCCCTCTCATCAGCTCCTGGCAAAGCCCTGCTCCTTTGACCCTTCTCACCGATTTGCAGCAAAGCCTCGCCCCTCCAGCCCCTCTATCTGGCTCCCACAGCTGCCCCCTCCCACAGGCTCCCAGTGAGGCCCCGCCCCTTCCACTCCTCCCACCTGTCCCAGTGAGGCCCCGCCCCTTCCACCCCTCATCGCAGTGAGGCCCCGCCCCTTCCACTCCTCCCACCGATCCCAGTGCGGTCCCGCCCCTTCCACACTGCCCACCGATCCCAGTGAGGCCCCGCCCCTTCCATTCCTCCCACAGGTCCCAGTGAAGCCCCGCCCCTTCCACACCTCCCATCGTTCCCAGTGAGGCCCCACCCCTTCCACTCCTCCCACCGCTCCCAGTGCGGCCCCGCCCCTTCCACTCCTCCCACAGATCCCAGTGAGACCCCGCCCCTTCCACGCCTCCCACAGATCCCAGTGCGGCTCCGCCCCTTCCACTCCTCCCACA